AAAGCTCAATACTATTATTATTTAAAACAAAAGCGAGAACACAATTAAATAAAACCTCCGGAAAAATAAAAGTTCAACACAAATACACGTAAAAATGGGCAATCTTAAATAAAACAAATAAAAACAATACCTGATAAAACTGCAGACTCACTGTAAGATCCATAAAACGTAAACGGAAAAAACACAAAAAAATGACAAAATCTAAAAACAACGGCGGTTATCTGAGGGATAGTCCGACCATAGTACCGAGCAGATGCCTGTGCGCAACTCAAGCAAGGTGGTTGACCCCACCTTATTTATCCAAACAAGGTCGTGCGCCAGGAGATGTTCGCGCATCTAGACTCATTTCATGGTTAATTGTCGTCTGCCTTCTATGAGAGTTTCTTAAAATATTAAAATATTATCAATAGATTGCCGCAGTTTACAAATTAAAAGGAGGTTTAATAAAGAAAAATGCACATAAAATAATATATACACTAAAAGAAACGAACAAACATACACAAATTCAAACAAACGATAAAAATTATATCCGTGGGCTAGCTGAGGGGTTTGGCGCCAAATGCCCGTTGTCAGTTTTCCCTCGGCCTTGTCTGTCGCCATCTTGGGCGCCATCTTGTTATGCCCGTACCCATGAGAGCGACCTCCCAACGTCATCCTTCGCAGGCCTCGAGTGGGACATCGGGACATCGAAGCATGGATACCACAGGCCAAATCTCCTTGATATGTTGAAAAATGCCCAGGGCGTCTCCATCCTCCTCCTGCAGCGCCTCCGTCAGGCAGTACCTTCTGCAGCGTCTCCGTCGGTGCCTCCGTCATTATGCTCGCGCCCTGGCCCAAACTGATAATATTGGTCGCGGGGGCTTTTTATGGGGGTTTTGGGTGATGCTGAGCGGGTGTGGGTCGCCGGAAGAGGCAGTAAGAGCGGCAGCTCACTACAAAAGGGTTATAAAACTTCTAGTAACTCTTGCAGGTTGATTAAAAAAAATAGATAAAAACTCAAGGAGGAGATGTGAATTATCGATTGCAATCTTGTATAAGACTAAAAGAGCCCCAATATCCTACGATGCCCAGCGTCCAAATCTAAATCAGATAAGAGACATTGAATGGATTTAACCCAATGGTGCCGGGTATGACGTGTACGTACGTGCTATGCCCACCGTGAGTACTTGTTTGATTGTTTTTACGCATAGATGGCAACACTTGTACTAACTCCCCAATAAGCCAACTACGAGCACCGCCTCTCTCGCCCGTTTAGCCTTTTCTTTGATTTACGAAATATTTTACGCTATCTTATTTTGCTGTTACTAATGTTAAAAATAACACCATCGATTTTCATAGCACTAGTGAAAAATACGGCAGACATTTCACGAAAAACATAGAAAGTGGACACGGCATTTTCCCCATTTTTTGTTCATTTTCCCTGGCGGCATTGGATTAAAAGAACGATGAAGCAATCCTAGGTGTGACTCTGCAGCAGATAACCACACAGGAGAACGTTGACAGAAATAAATCAGAAATGAGGAAGATACAAGACATTGAATATATCTTCATAGGATCATTTCCCTTAATCAAATCACCTACATTTATAAATTTAATAGTGTGCGTTTGTCAGTATATTAAATTCTCCAAAGATAAAGAGAACTGGAATTTAAAAAGCCCAAGGATATCTACAAACACTGGTTCAATTACTAGGTTTTGATTCTAAAAAAGATATTTGTGCAGGAAGTAAAAGATATCACTTCCTTTTTCTGTATACATAGAGAAAAAAGATAGATAGGTAGATAGACAGATAAACGTATAGATAGATAAATAGGTAGTTAGATAGATGGATCGATAGATGTGTGTGTGTTATTATTATTATTATTATATGTACATGTATATATATATATATATATATATATATATATATATATATATATATATATATATATATATATATAGTAAGAGAAAAATTCAGATTTGCCGGTTTTACTGTTTTATATTTTTCTTGAAATTGACATGCCTTTTTTCATTATACAGTTAGCAAATTTTACAGAAAGGAAAAAAAATTATGTTATTATCAAAGGAAATTTATTCATGTATATCTTTAAGCCTTAAAATAGTAGAAAAACTTTAGAAATCGAATTAAGTGGAATGTTTTAATCATCAACAACAGCAATTGTCTTATCAGTTAATTAAAAAAAAAAAAATTTTTGACAAGTTTGAAAGCACTACAGTAACAAAAATATATTACATACGTTATGAAAAAATAGTTCTTTACTTTCATTATGTAGAAAAAGGATTTAAAAGGATTAGATTCATGCAACACAGTTGATTAGTCACAGAAAAAAATCTATTTCGTGAATTGTTATTTGGTGAATGCCAATTAATGCAGTAAACTTTCAAAGACACACACACACACACGCATATATATATATATATATATATATATATATATATATATATATATATATATATATATATATATATATATATATATACATATATATATATATATATA